TTAAAATAAAAAACACCAATGACAGTCTATCCTGGAGAGGATGTGGAGAAAGGGGAACACTCCTTCATTACTGGTGGGAGTGCAAACTGGTGCTACCACTTTGGAAATCAGTATGGCTGTTTCTTAGGAAAATGGGAATTAGTCTACCTCAAGATCCAGCAATTCCACCCTCAGGCATATGCCCAAAATACGCACATTCATACAAAAAGGACATCTGTCCAACTATGTTCATAGAAGCGTTATTTGTCTGAAAAAGAGGTCTAAGATATTTATTGAATATAGAAGTTACTTACAGGTAGATAGGAGCTCTGGGAACATGGCTAGCTTACAAGAGAGAACTTTTGCTTTTCCTTTCCTTTTATATCCCACCTGTCCCACGTACCCCTGTCCACGCTCCTGAACAGTATTGTGGGCTCACCCCTACAATTCCCTTTTAGTCTAAATAAAAGATTTAAACTTGATACAAAGCTCAAACATATGTAACATATATACATGGAAGGTGATAAGCAAGTTATAATCTACTTATATCCTAAACTAAGCATATCTATCCCATCTAAATCCTAAACTTATCTGAAAGAGATGCCCAAATCTGAACACCTCCTTCCAATCCCAACCCTAAAATAATTGAAAACTAACACTAACAGGTGTAAACTATCCTGTAATATCAATAGTAGGGAAAGGGGGCATAGTAGTCTCAAAATTACTTCCTTATATGCCATCTTAGAACCAGTGACTGATGGAAGCAGAGGCAGACACAGCTAAACATTGAACTGAACTCCTGGAACCCAGAGACAGAGAGGGAGGAGTGATGAGCAAAGGGGTCAGGCTGGTGAAACCCACAGAAAAAGCTGACCTGAGAAAGGGGGAGCTCTTGGACCCCTGTCTGATGGCTGGGAGACCAGCATGGGACTGATCCAGATCCCCTGAATATGGGTGTCAACAAGGTGGGAGTGCCAACTTGTTCAGCCACTTTGGATATCAGTGTGGAGATTCCTCAGAAAAATGGGAATAAACCTACCACAAGACCCATTCATACAACAAGGATGTCTGTTCCACTATGTTCATAGCAGCATTATTTGTAATAGCCAGAACTTGGAAGCAACCTAGATGACCCTCAACCGAAAAGTGGATAGACAAAATGTGGTACATTTACACAATGGAGTACTATTCAGCAGAAAAAAACAATGGAATCCTGAGATTCGCAGGCAAATGGATGACACTAGAAGAAACCATCCTGAGTGAGGTAACCCAGTCACAAAAAGAGAAACATGGCATGTACTCTCTCATATATGGATTTTAGACATAGATCTAGGGAGTGCCAGCCTACAATCCCATGGCCGGAGAGTCAGGGAAACAGAAACTTCATTCAGTGGCTGATGGAGGCAGAGGCAGACTCCCACAGCTAAGCACTGAGCTGAACTCAAGAAAGCCAGTAACAGAGAGGGAGGACTGATGACCAAAGGGATTAAGACTGTGCTGGTTTAACCACCAGAAACAGCTGACCTGACAAGGGTTAACTCTTGAACCCCATGCTGATGCCTGGCAATCCAGCATGGGGCTGATCAAGACCCCCTGAAAGTGGGTGTCAGTGAGGAGGCCTAGGTAATCTATTGAGCCTTGGATAATAGATCAGTATTCATCCAGGGTATACAAATGGACTTTGGGCTTCCATCCAACAATGAGAGATGCACTCTCACCCTGGACTCTTGGGGGAGGGTCTAGGCCCTGTCCTGGATGAAATGAAAGACTATGGACACCCCCATGGAAGAACTCACCCTCCCTGGGGAAAGGAGGGGGTATGAGGAGGGGGGGAAAGGGAGAGGGACATGAGATTGACATGTGAAGAAACCTTGTTTCTAATTTGAATTTAAATTTAAAAATAAATTTTTAAAAAAAATAAAAAAAGACTCTTACACATATACAAAGTATATAGGGACATGGTGTATATTAAGTATACTACAGTGTGCAAACGGTTAAGTTCTGCAACTTAACTGGTTTTTTTACACTTTTTATTTCAATTTTTCTATTTCATATACCAACTCCAGTTCCCCACCTTCCCCTCTCCTGCCCCCTTCACCATCCAGTCCTCAGAGGGGGTAAGACCTCCCTTGGGGAGTCAACAAAGTCTGGCACACCAAACTGAGGCAGGACCAAGCCTCTCCCCTCCTGTATCAAGGTTGAGCAAGGTATCCTATCATAGGGAATGGGCTCCAAAAAGCCAGTTCATGCACCTGGGATAGGTCCTGGTCCCACTGCCAGCTCCCCTCAATAGATCAAGCCACGCAATTGTCACCTACATTCAGAGGGTCTACCTCAGTCCCATGCAGGTTCCCCAGCTGTCTGTTCCCACTAGCTCAAGCCGAGCCATCTCTGTGGTTTTCTCCATTATGGGCTTGACACCCCTTGCTCATATGATCAATCCTTCCTTTCTTCAACTGAACTCCAGGAGCGCAGGCCAGTGCTTGGCTGTGGATTACTGCATCTGTTCCATTAGTTACTGGATGTAGGTTCTATGATGACCATCAGGGTAGTCACTAATCTGATTATAGGGGAAGACCAGTTCAGTCATACTCTCCACTACTGCTTAGGCCATCCTTGTGGATTCCTGGGCATTTTCCTAGCACCATGTTTCTCCCTAACCCCATAATGGTTCCCTCTATCAAGATCAACTGGGCCTCATGTTCCCATCTCCCATCCCCTCCCAGTTTACCCAGGAGATCTTAACTATTTCTCCTTTCTGGGGCCCTCCTCGTATTTTCCTCTTATGGTCATCCTTTCTATGTAGCTTCTCTGGGGTTGTGGATTGTAGCCTGGTTATGCTTTGTTTTATGTGTAACATCCACCCTCGAGTGAGTACATACCATGTTTGTCTTTCTCTGTCTGGGTTACCTCACTCAGGATGTTTTTTTCCTAATTCCATCTATTTGCCTGTAAATTTAAAGATGTCATAGGTTTTACTGCTGAGTAATACTCCATTGTGTAATTATACCACATTTTTTATCCATTCTTTGGTTGAGGGACATCTAGGTTGCTTCCAGGTTCTGGCTATTACAAATAATGCTGCTATGAACATAGTTGAGCAAATGTCCTTGTGGTATGATTATGCATCCTGATTTTTGACAAGGAAGCCAAAATTATACAACAGAAAAAAGAAAGCATATTCAACAAATGGTGCTGGCATAACTGGATGCTGACAAGTAGAAAACTGCAAATAGACCTATATCTATCCCCATGCACAAAACTCAAGTCCAAATGGATCAGACCTCAACATAAACCCAGTTACACTGAACCTGATAGAAGAACAAGTAGCCTTGAATGCATGGGCACAGGAGACCTCTTCCTCAATATAACACCAGTAGCATAGACACTAAGAGCAACAATTAATAAAATGTACCTACTGAAACTGAGAAGCTCCTGTAAGGTAAAGGACACAGTCAATAAGACAGAATAGCAACTCACAGAATGGGGAAAGATCTTCACCAACCCCACGTCTGACAGAGGACTGATCTCCAAAATATATGATGAACTCGAGAAATTATTGTATAATTGTTATCTTAAAATATTAACCACACATGCATTCTGCTTCTGTAATCTTGCTTAACCACTGATTGCTCAGAAGACACACAAAAAGAAAACAAAAAACAACAAAAACATGCTAATGTTTCACATAGCAGGAACATCTCCAGAGTTGAGACAATTGTGGTTTGTGTCTCTCAACACTTCAATCCCCGTCTCCCTGCCCCCTTTTCAGCAGCTCTCAGACAGGCAAAGGTGACTGTTGTAGCAAGGTTTCTACAAGTAAGCGTTTTTTAAGTCTTCTTTTGATGATTACTTTTTATTTTTTATTTTATGTGCATTGGTGTTTTGCTTGCATGTATGCCTGTGTAAGGGTCTTAGATTCCCTGGAATTGGAGTTACAGACAGTTGTGAGCTGCTTTATAGGTGCTGGGAATTGAACCTTAGTCTTCTAGAAGGGCAGCCAGTGCGCTTAACTGCGGAACCATCTCTCCAGCCCAAAATTGGTTTTGTTGTTGTTGCTGTTTGCTTTTTTCCTTGCCCAGTGCCAGGGCATGAACAACTGGTGACAGGCAAGGTAAGGTTATTTATCTGTTTGGATTTGGGGAAACTTTTGAGTAGGATGTAGGAATGTGGAGTTTCTATGTCATGAGTCCACCGCAGATGACCATTTTTTTCAGTCTTTAAAATTGAAAGAAGTTTTGTCTGGTTTTCTTTCCCTGGCCATCTTGAATTCTGTAACACCACCTGCATATTTTATGTATGTTTGGAGTGAATTTTATAAGTTAAATTATGTCTTATTTAAAAACTTATAAATGGACTTCTTATTCCCATTGTAGAACAGGTAGTTGTTGACAAGCTACAGAAAATAAAACAGATGTCTACATTTCCATTTTTACTCTGGGATCCTCTTTCCTGGGCACTAGTAACCAGGTTTCCCTGCACCCCCTCTAGCTTCTCCCATTTCCTCTACACTCTGAGTATATACCCTTTCATCTCTTCACAGCTGACTCTGAACAGTTGTATAGTTTTGTGTCCAAAGCTTTATCCTTAAACCACTTGTTATTACAATTGCTACCTGTGCCAAGTTCACCCTCATGTATACTCCTACTCTCCAATATGTTCTTCATGAGGAAGAGATGCTATGCCCAAATACACTACATCAGTGATTCTCAAAGTACAAGGCAGGATGGTGAAAGTCACCTAGGAAGCTGCAGCAGAAGGAAGATAGAAACCCATTCTGCATATAACAGGTGTGTGACCACCATATATCCCGTATTCTGCTGTAGCAGAGAGGTCATTTCTTGTCCAAGCATTGGGCTTCTCTTCTGGCCTCCATTTAGCAGGAAGCTAAACAAAGAGTTATTCCATTCTGTGGAAACAAGATGACAAATGCAACTATTGTTTTGAAAAATATAGTCTTTATTGCTATTGTATGTAACAAGACAATGTTTTTATGACCAGCAGGACTGGTCAAAATGTTGCTAGAACAAGATGAGCCCTTTTGGTTCCTTGGGAACAGAAGCACTCTCAGGATGTTCATCCATCTTGAGGGAGAAGTTGTCCAGGGTGCCAGATGTGTCACGGCTGAGTAGTAATTCCGTCTGTATTTTCCTGTATTTAGCCCTCTTATTTTTAAACCAATCCTGAAATCAGACCAAGATAGAGGCTGGTTTATCATACTGAGTAGCTAATATTAGGGTGGAAAAACATGAAACTTCCTATGGGACTGGCATTCTCCCTTTCACAGAAAAGTAGAGTTTGCAATTCCTCACCAACTCCTCAAGGGTGCAAGTGGTACTCAGGGTGTAGGACGTGCTCATGGCAAGGAAATCCTGGTTTCCATTCCACCATCACTCTAACCCATCAAACAATGTGACTGCACACACAGCACCAGTCTCACAATTCTTTGGAAAATGAGCTGCATGTCAACCTCTGGACACTATCAGGACCATTCTTTAGACAGACTTTCAAAGTTTTCAGTCCTTGCCTTCTTCATAATTAAAGCAGATTGGGGCAATATCTCAGAGTTGACACAGGATACCAATGGGGTAATTAAATTAAGAGCGGCATTTGTCTGGGCCATCTTACTAAAACCTTACAAAAGAAAAATCAGAAGAACCAGCCACAAGGGCTTTTCAGCTCTTATCCCACATCTTTTCCACCTTAATGTAACAATTTTTCTCATTGTGTATAAAACAAGTCATTCCCTGCTCTACATTTATCCACTTATTCTTGTAGCTATGTGCATGTATTCAGTATTCAGTAACAATTGAAATGCTACATCACATAAATATTATCATGGCAATCCTGAGTTCCGACCTGACTCCAGACAGAAATACTATGCAGAACATCTTTTTGTCACACGTAGTTCAGTATTAATTAGGGGACATGAAGGTGTGTATGATATGCATACAACATAGTTATACCTATATATGCTATATGTAGACACACATAAACACAATTCCTTTCACACAGAGAATGGGAGACCCAGTTTCTTTGTTTTTTCTCCTTCGGGAAAACATATTCCTTTACTACCAGAAATGTAGAAAAAACAGTAGCAAGAGTTTACTTTTTCAAACACTTTCTACTTTCAAAGAACACATTAGTCCAACTCTTGTTTGCCTGCATAAAGCAGGCATAAGACCTGGGAGCTCCAGGTGTGGAAGACAAGGCCATGGCTGCCCTGAAGCCGGTCTGAAATGTAGTACCCGCTGAGCCTCTACTGACCTTAACCTTGCGTTCATCCACATGAATGAGCTCTGCAAGTGCTTTTCTAGGGAGAGAAAGGGACAGAAGTTAGCCATTGCCATTTGTGGGGTGGTAAGGAAAGTGCACATATAAGATTTCTCCACATTTTTACCTTGTTATTCCTGCCCCCAGCTCAGCAAATAGTCACTTCATCATTTTTCAGATAGGACTCTTTAGAAGTGACTTCATCTTGTCAAAACACTAAATATTGTGTCGTCAAAAACTCCTGAGCATAGCCAAGGGAGATTGCTCAGTGGGTAAAGGGACACGATGATATTCCTGAAGATCTGATTTCAATCCCTGGTTCTCACATGTTGGAAGGAAAGAGCACACCTCCCAGATTTTCCTCTGACAGCCACATGTGTAGGTATTGTGTTATGCTCACACATATGCTTATGTAAGCACAATTCTAATAAGAAAATGTAGTTGAGAAGTAATCTGACAATTGACCATGTCATATGTATTTGTTTATGGCAGTGTTCATTTTTTTTCCTGTGTAGCTGTGCATGTTTTGTGTGGATATCAGGTATGGATTTAAATTCAGGAAGACATGATTGAATGGTAATCATCTTGTTCTAAAAATTACTTCAGACACACGAAGACAAGTGAGTCAAAGGGCGAGTCTAGTAGAGGGTGGGTGGTAAATTTGCGAGTCTCTTCTTCCCTTTGACCTTGTTGAGGCTGTGTTTTTCTTGCTTCTCAGGCTATGCTGCCTGCTAGGTCTATCTGACTCACCATATTGTGGTGATTTATTCTGTGTCTGCCTCCCATCTGCCTGTAGGGCTCAAGGGACTGAGGTGGCATCTGGCTTTCTAATTGTGTTCAGGCTTGGGTTTTAAGCACTCTTACCCCACGAACCATCGCTTCAGCTCCCACTGTATTTTTTGATACAGTGTCTGTCATTGGTCCTATATTCACTGTGATCCCCAGGGATCCGCCAGATCCTCACCTCCCCAGAACCAAGATTTCCTGTGGATGGTATTTTTCCATTTGTTTAACCACAAGGGAACAGAGTTACTGACTGTTCAAAGCAGTGGGCATTGAATTAATAGGGCCAGCATTTCAGTTTCTTGGTGTATACCACAAAAGACTTAAAACTTGTAGTTAAAGAGGTATTTGTCCACAGATGCAAAGCACAGTTCCTGTGGGCCACAGATTAACCCTGCCACATACTGATGAACATGCAGGACATCATGCTAAGACAAACAGGGTAGTTTGAAAAGGAAAAGTTCTGCATAATTTCCTTTGTGTGTGAAAGCTGAAGCAGTCAGACTCGGGATGAAAACACAAACAATGCAATAGGCTAAAGGGAGGGTTGGGAGACAAAGGGTTAATAAGCATAGGGTTTTGCGTTAGCATCATAAAAATACTCTGAAAAAGCTTCCCCCAAACAGTTTTGAGAACACTGCTTGGTCTTCCCTTTAGTCGTGGTTTAGACAGTGGCCTTTATGTTTCTTTAAAAAAAACCTGTAAAATGAAAGAAACACCCACCCACGAGCATGTTGGGGGCTTGTTTTCTTTTCAAAAGTACAGGGAGGGTTTGACCTTTAACCTCAGAGGTCATCTTCTTCACCCCCACCATAAATTCAGCTGAAGAGTTTGTGGTTTCAGGCCCAACAGGGGAAGGAGGTCAACCCAGGTACCAAACTAATCTCAGTTACTGAGGAGGCTGAGTCAGGAATTCAAGTTCATAAATTCAAGCTACCTTTAGTAATTCTTACTCTGTCGTAAGTTACAAGGTAAAATGGAATCCACACGTAACTTGGAGGGAAGAGAATTGGCCTAGCATTTCTAGGGCTTCTGAATTCTGTACACAGGATACATTATTAAAACAAACAAACAAACGGAGCAGCAGAGGTCAGGAGAGAATAAAGGAGCCCAAGGTCCTGGAAGTCAGAGTAGATTCGTTAAAAAGCATGTACATACCGTTGGAATGCATCAGGGTACTGGGTTTCTCGGAAAACCCTGTCCAGTTCACGAAGTTGCCCATGGGTGAACTTGTAGTGTTTTGTATGCCTCTTATTGGAGTGATGAGAAACTGCTCCAGCTGCTTTCCCAGGCTCCCTCGGCTTTCTGTGTTCAAGCTCATTGGGGCTGGCTCTCTTTTTCTTCATTGCACGGTTATAGGAGTGGTCATATTCAGACCCACCCAGCTCATGCAGGACTGGTATGCCTCTTCCAAAGTGTCTACGGGCTGCTGCTGCAGCTGCCCTCTGCTGAGATGCAGTCATTATTTCTTCCTCATAGAAGCCCACCCCATAATAGTCGAGGTCAAAGTAGAAGAACTTGCTCTCCATCACTAGAGCTTCGCAGATAGAGCCTACTGTGGGGCGTCTCCCTGTTTCCCGAGCTAAAATTGTTACATCAGGCTGCGCATGTGCCACAATACACATATGCGTGCTCCTGGGTGTGGCTAGTTTAGTCGCAGAAGCTGGGGGTGGGTATGTGTGGGCGTAAAGAGGTGGGTCGACCCTACAGGAGAAGACTGTTGCTGTTTTGAAGGCATGGCAAAAGGTTGCTTGAAGTAAATTCTGCCTTTACAATATCTTCAAGAATTAGGCCCCAAGTTGGACCTCAATTCAGGGATCTTCCTGGGTCTCTCAGGGAGGCCCCTGACAAGGACAAACAATGGATTTTAAGGTTATTTCGAGGGAGAGAATAGGATAGGGACAAAAATTCAAAAGAACATCGTGTTAAACTTGGGGAACATCTCACGGCCTTACCTTCCAATGCCACAGCTCAATGTTTTCCCCACCGGGAAGTAAGTTGGCATTACAAATTAGTGGCCTCTTCTCTATATTTCGTTGAAGACACGGAATGCAGAATTGACTTGATCCATTTAGCCACAGAAGCAGAAATTAAAGCATTTTCCTTGGTAAGATCCAGTACCAAATGAACCCCCAGATGCCAGATTTTTAAAAATAGAATATTTGTCAAAATTTGCATGTAATGTCCTGCCTAGGGATGATCTCAGACAAAAATTCTGACATATCATGGGGGTCTTGCCCTGTTTATGAGACAGCATTGGAATAACTCTCTAGAACACTTTACACGGTGGTTAAATAAATATACCATGCATTTTCCTTCTTTTTAAAAAATTATTATTTTTTACATCCTGACCAGTTTCCCTTCTCTCCTCTCCTCCAAGTCCCTACTCCCCAGTTCTCCCTCCAAGTCGTCCTCTCCCCTCTGCACCTCCTCCTCTGTTTCTTTCCAGAAGAAGGCAGAATTCCCATTGATATCAACCAAACATGGCATATTAAGTTGCAGTAAGACTAGGTACCTTCCCTCATTATTAAGGCTGGACAAGGCCACCCAGTATGAGAAATGGGTTTCCAGAAGACAGTGAAAGAGTTAGAGACAGCCCCTGCTCCCTCTGTTAGGAGTCCCACAAGAAGACCAAGATATACAACTGTCACATATGTGCAGAGTACATAGGTCAGTCCCATGCAGGTTCCCTGGTTGTCAGTTCAGTCTCTGTGAGTCCCTGTGAGCCTAAGTTAGTTGAGTCTATGGGTTTTCTTGTGATGTCTTTGACTCCTCTAGCTCCTACAATCCTTCCTCCCTCTTCAGCAAGCTCTGCCTAATGTTTGGCTGTGGGTCTGCATCTGTTTCTACCAGTTGCTGGATAAAGCCTGTCTGCTGACTATTAGGAATAATCTAAGTATAGCAGAATACAATTAGGAATCATTTAATTTATTTTTCAGTCATTTTGGTCCTATCCTAGGTCTCTGGGCTATCTAGACTCAGAGTCCTGGTGTCCAGAAAGTGTCAGTGATGGGCTCCCTCTCATAGCATGAGTCTCAAGCTGGACCAGTCATTGGTTGGCCACTCCCACAAGTTCTGTACCACTTTTACCCCAGCACATCTCATAAGTAGGACAAATTGCAGGTTGAAGGTTATGTAGCTGGGTTGGTGTCCTAATCACTCCACTGGAAGTCTTGCTTGGTCACAGGAGATGGCTGGTTCAGGCTACATATCCCCCATTGCTAGGAGTCTTTGCTAGGGTCACCCTCATAATTCCATGGAGTTTCCCTTGTACTAGGTTTCCACTTTGGCTCCCAAATGCACCCCAAATCCAGTTGCCTTTTCCAACACTCTCTCCCTCCTTTTCCCAACCTGATTTCTCCTGTTCCCATCACCTCCATCCCACCTGTCCACTTGAGATATGTATTATATTTCCCCTTCCCAGGGAAGATTTATGTGCCAGTCAGAGCTGTCCTTGTTACTTAGCTTCTCCAGGTCTTTATACTGAAGCATGATTATCCTTTGCAACTAATGTCCATTTGTAAGTGAGTACATACCATGTTTGTCTTTCTGGGTTACCTCATTCAGGATGAGTTTTTTTCTACTTCCATCTTTTTTGCCTTGAAATTTCCTGATGTCATTGTTTTTAACAGCTAGGTAATAATCCGTTGTGTAAACATATAGCATTTTCTTTATCTATTCTTCAGATGAGGGGCATTTAATCTGTTCCCATGTTCTGACTGTTACAAATAAAGCTGCTATGAACATAGGGTCCTTGTGGTACAATTGAGCATCCTTTGGGTATATGCCCAAGAATGGTATAACTAAGTCTTGAGGTAGATTGATCGCTAATTTTCTGAGGAATCTCCATATTGATTTCCATAGTGACTGTACAAGCTTGCATTCCCACCAGCAATGGAGGAGTGTTCCCCTTGTTCAACATCCTCACCAGCATAAGCTGTTGTTACTCATGGTTTTCATTTTAGCCATTTTGACAGGTGTAAGATAAAATCTCCAAGTCATTTTAATTTGCATTTTCCTAATGGCTAAGGAAGTTGAACATTTCTTTTTTTAATTTTTAATTTTAATTTTAAATAGCTTGTTTTACATGTCAATCCCAGTTCCCTCTCCCTCCCCTCCTCCCGCACTCCCCCATCCCCTCCAGCCTCCCACCCTATTGCCAATACCTTCCACATAGGGGATATCTAGAGTCTGTCATTTCACTCAGGGTAGGGTCCAGGCTCTCCCCTAAAAGTCCAGGCTGAGAGAGCATCCCTCTTTGTGTTATGGACACATGATGACTGTTTGTATTCCAGGGATAGACACTGATCCACTGCTCAGGGCCCCATAGGTTGCCCAGGCCTTCTCACTGATACTCACATTTGGGGAGTCCAGATCAGTCCCATGCTGGCCTCCCCACTGTCGGTCTGGGGTCTAAGAGCTCTCCCCTGTTCAGATCAGCTGTCTCTGCTGGTTTTGCCAGCCCATTCTTTGCCAATTTGCTCATCACTCCTCTCTCTCTGTCACTGGATTCCTTGGGTTCAGTTCAGTGCTTAATTGTGGGTGTTTGCCTCTGCTTCCATCAGTCACTGGATGAAGGCTCCCAGATGGTTATAGACATCAAGTTCATTATCAGGAATGGGCATTCGAGGTGGTTTCTCCACTATTGCTTAGCTTGCCAATTGGTGTCATCCCTTTAGATCACTAGAGGTCACAATGGTCCCTGATCTGTCTTCTAACCTATGATTCCCTCTTCCCCCTATTCTACCCCCCCCACTCAACCTTCCTGTTCCCCCATGACCTACTCTCTCTTCCTCTTCTCCCCGTCTCTTCTTCCCAGCTCCCACTCCACCCCACCCCTTGCCATGTTCCCCATCCATTCAGAGGATCTTGTCTCAATCCTCTTCTCTTGGGTACTATGCATATATGCATATCTTTTAGGTTCTTTCCTGTTTCCCAGACTCTCTATCAGTGGAAGTGCAGACTGGCACTATCCTGATCCATGTCTAAAATCCATATATACCATGTTTGTCTTTTTTGCGACTGGGTTACTTCACTCAGGATGGTTTCTTCCAGTGCTATCCATTTACCTGCGAATTTCAAGATTCCATTGTTTTTTTCTGCTGAGTAATACTCCATTGTGTAAATGTACCACATTTTCTCTATCCACTCTTCAGTTGAGGGGCATCTAGGTTGCTTCCAGGTTCTGGCTATTACAAATAATGCTGCTATAAACATAGTGGAGCAGATGCCCTTTTTGTATGAATTTGCCTCATTTGGATGTATGCCTAAGAGTGGAATTGCTGGGTCTTGTGGTAGATTAATTCCCATTTTCCCTGAGGAATCTCCATACTGATTTCCAAAGAGGCTGTACGAGTCGGCACTCCCTCCAGCAGTGGAGGAGTGTTCCCCTTTCTCCACATCCTCTCCAGCATAAATTGTCTTCGGTGTTTTTGATTTTAGCCATTCTGACAGCTTCTCTGTCATTTGAGTTTCCTCTGTTGAGAATTCTCTGTTTAGATCTGTACCTCATTTTTAATTGAATTATTTGTTTTGATGATGTCTAGTTTCTTGAGTTCTTTGTATATTTTTGGATATTAACCCTTTGTCAGATGTGGAGTTGGAGAAAACATGTTCCCATTCTGTAGGTTGCTGTTTTGTCCTATCTACAGTATCCTTTGCCTTACAGAAGATTTTCAGTTTCATGAGGTCCCATTTATTAGTTGTCAGTCTTAGTGCCTGCACCAGTGGTTTACTGTTTAGGAAATTGTTTCCTGTGCCAATGCATTCAAGGCGTTTCCCCACTTTCTTTTGTATTAAGTTCAGTGTATCTGGTATTATATTGAGGTCTTTGATCCACTTGGACTTGGATTTTGTGCAGGGTAATAGATATTGGAACTATTTGCATTGCTCTACACACAGACATCCAATTAGACCAACACCATTTGTTCAAGATGCTTGTTTTCTATTGTATAATTTTGGCTTCTTTGTCAAAAATCAAGTGTCAATAAGTGTGTAGATTTATTTCTGCGTCTTCAATTCTATTCCATTGGTCAATCTGTCTGTTTTTATGCCAATACCACGAGGTTTTTAAAAAATAAATATAGCTCTGTAGTAGAGCTTTAAATCAGGGATAGTGATACTCCCAGAAGATCTTTTATGGTACAGAATTATTTTACCTGTCCTGTTTTTGTTCTTCCATAGGAAGTGGAGTATTGTTTTTTCAAGATCTGTAAGAATTGTGTTGGACACCTATGAACACCTGAGTTTTGACCAAGAAGCTAAAATTATACAATGGAAAAAATAAAGCATCTTCAACAAATGGTGCTGTCATAACTAGATGCTGCTTTGTAGAAGACTGCAGATATAGCCATATCATATCTATCTCCATGCACAAAACTTAAGTCCAAATGGATCAAAGACCTCAACATAATTTCAGCCACACTGAACATCTTAGAAGAGAAAGCCGGGGTATCCTTGAATAAATTGGTATAGGAGACCACTTCCTCAATATAACACCAGTAGCCTAGACACTGAGATCGACAATTAACATATGGGACCCCCTGAAACTGAGAAGCTTCTGTAAGGCAAAGGACACAGTCAACAAGACAAAAAGGCAGCCCACAGAATGGGGAAAGATCTTCACCACATCTGACAGAGGGCTGATCTCCAAAATTTACAAAGAACTCAAGAAGCTAGTCACAAAAACACCAAACAACCCAAATAAAAAGTGGGGTACATAACTAAATAGAGAATTCTCAATAGAGGAATCGAAAATGACTGAAAGACAGTTAAGATCCTTGTCCATCATGGGAATGCAAATCAAAGCAACTCTGA